TAAAATAAATAAAATAAATAAAATAAATAAAATAAATAAAATAAATAAAATAAATAAAATAAATAAAATAAATAAAATAAATAAAATAAATTAAAAAATAAATAAAATAAAATAAATAAAATAATAATAAAATAAACCACAACTACATTTCTAAAGGAAGAGGAAGATTTGGCTCTGGAAGGGAGAAAGGATCAGGCTCTCTTACCTTGGGCTCAGTTGGACTTTTGGCATAGTAGTGACAACGTCCTGCGTAAAGTGGCCTCAAGTCCTGTAAAAAGAAGAGCCCCCCCCCGCTTTTTAAAACAGTTCAAACGGCCATATTTTAAAATTAAAAGTAGCGACAAATCCAGAGAGTCCTTGATTCAGAGCCATTCCTTTAGCGACTCCTCAAAGTTACAACAGCGCTGAAAAAAGTGAAGCTACAACCGTTTTTCACATCTGCATCCTCCCCATGATCATGTGATCAAAATTCGGAGCCTTGGCAACTGGCATGTACTTACGAGGGTTGCAGTGTCCCGGGGTGGCATGATCCCCTTTTGCGACCTTCTGACAAGCAAAATCAACGGGGAAGCCACATTCACTTAACAAGCTTGTGACTAATTTAACAATGGCAGTGATTCACTTAACAACCATAGCAGGAAAGTTCGCAACATGGGGCAAAACTCACTTAACAACCATCTCGCTTAGCAACAGAAATTTTGGGTTGGGGGGGGTCACACGGTTGTTGAGTGAGTGGCTTCCCCCCTTCCTTCCCGTTGATGATCGGAAACGGGAATCATGGGACCGTTGGGACACTGCATCCATCCGTCTGTGCCGCTAGTCGAGCGCCCGATCACAAGACCTTGGAGGGGGGGAGCGACACTGCTAGTGTGAAAACTGGCTCGTTGTCACTTCGAACGCACGGTCGTGAAGCCGAGGACTCCCTGCGCCAGAATCCGTGCAGGGAAGGCTGGGCGTTGGCCAACTTCCCGCCCTCTGGATCCCTACTCACGATATGCCTGGCAGCAAAGACGCCATCCACAATCGCGCAGCAGAAGGCAGCAATGACGCCGAAACTGATGAACACAATGGAGGCGACCAGCTGCGGAGGACAGGAAGGAAGACAAGGAGAAAGTGGTCAGTTCCAAAGGGGCAGGTGCGTCATCTCCAGCGGGCAGCCTTTCTTCTGCCTCCTGGCACACCCTGAGAGCTATTTGAAGGCCCTACCAGTGTTCCCTTCTGCAGGACGCCAGCGAGATATTTGTGTTCTGACCTAGGCTTCCTCAAACAGTACGAAGCAGATTCCTGGTGCCAACAAAACCAGTTTTATTAAACGAATGTGAATTCCTCTCATTCACATTCAGCAAAGGCCTGGTAAACAGTCTTTCAAAGGTGAAGTTATGGCCACAGACCTTATCTAGCTTGGAAAGTGGCCATGAAAATATTTTCCAAACGTAGAGCTGTGCAAGGAAAGATCTGGCACAGAGTCTCTGAGATTCACGGACAGATCTTCACACTCCTGAAACAAAAGAATTGTTTCCTGCAAAAGCCCATTCCCTTTTCGCTCCTCTTTTATTTCCTATGGGAGGGGCCATTCACTATCCACCTGTGGCTTTACTCCCAAGTCGACCCTGGTTTCTTATCCGTTCTTTTCTTCTGGCAGCTCTGCG